CCCAGCTTACAGAGCATCCGCACGGGGAGCTCACACTTGCAGGGCGGCCACGGAGAGCGAGCAGCACCGGGCTGGCACATTTCCTGTTTATCTTCTAAGTTTAAATTCATTTAAATAGTTAAGAGATAACCAAGGCATTTCCTGGTGCCGTGAGGCACACTGCCAGGTGGAGCAGTGACTTGCAGTCCCCTCGAAAAGAAAAAGAAAAAGAAACACAACACGGAGCTCTTTGTGCGGACCCTGGTCCCGGCTAAATGCACCGCGGGACCAGCTTCAGCACACGCACCCCTTTCCTTGTATCTCCAGTGGGGCTGTTGGGCTGGGTTTGGGGTTTTTTTCCTCCCTTCTTTGTTAACAGACGCTTTTGAAGTAACTCATCACAGAGCCCAGTGCCCCCCCAAACCGTGCACCCCAGTGAGCTCCTGCTGCTGCAGGCGCTGCCAAGAGCGGGGCTGCGAGTGCTGCTTATCCCCCTGCTCCAGCTGGTGCCACTTCCACTCCTCTCCCTGCCCATCTGTTTCCAAGCAGGATTAGCTTTCCATCCCGTGGGATGCAGCCCCCCGCGCATCGCTGCTTTAAAAAACCCAGTGTCCTGCTCATTAACAGCAGCCCTTGACGTGCACCTGAGCAAACAGCGATAGTCTCGTCCTCACTTCACATCCTGTCTCTGGGGACCCTCCCTGGATGGAAAAGCCACCTGGCCTCTGTGTCCTCCGAAAGAGAAGATTTTGCTACCAACCATCTCAAAAACCCTCCTTGATTTTTATCTTGCTTAGGTCAGAGGGCTGGCTCCCAGCCTCCGGATCCAGCACTGGGAGCAGAGCCCAGCCTGCCTGCCCTTAGATAGCTTATGCCCTGGTTCAATATTCTTTTTTACTTGACAGGCCCCTAAATAAGGCTGGTGCTTAATTGTACAGCGTGTCTGGAGAAGGAGGGACCCCTGCCTTGAAGAACCAGCAGGAGAGGGCCAGGCTGGGTTACAGACAGGGACGTGGGGACAAAGCAGAGAAGGGTGTGAGACGCTTTGACATGAAAGCTGCTCCACGGAGTTTGTTCCAGCAGCCCTGAAGTGAGTCAGTCACATGAAATCACTTGATGTCAAACGAGAATCATGCCCCGAATGGTGTCCTGAACCCACGGCCTCTCAGCTAACACTGCCTCATTGTTCCCCTGCCTTCACCCTCTGCCTGCTTCTCTCTCATGTGCCCTGTGCCCACGTCGTAAGCACTTTGAGACAAGGACCAGCTTTTAGCTCGATCTGTTTTGCGATGTGGGCTTGTGGGCAATGCCAGCGCCGCGCTAATTAATGAGTTGACTTTTCCAAGTTGGTTTCTTCACCAGCGTGTTCCAGTGCCCAGGGTTTGTGAAAGGCAGCGAGCATCGAAGCTCTTCCTAGAGCCAGCAGCCGCAAATTAAGTCAGAGAGTCTTGCTGCGTCGCTGCCAGCCCCGTGTTGTGAGGCTGATTCCTCTGCCTGCGCCCTGGGAACTGCCCGCAACGGCTGCAGCTCTGCTCTCTTCTATTCATTTTTCCTCTCACTTTTAAAACAAACAGCAAAGAGTGTGGGAAAGCTGGGGTTTGTTAATTTTAATAAGGCGCTGGCAGCACAAGGAGGTCGGGGAGCGCGGTGCTGATCGTCCTTCCTCCTGGCGGGCAGCTCCTCTGGGCTGCTCCTGCTTCTCTGCCACTTTTCAGGTTTTATCAGCACTTTACACTTTCTGCTGTATGAAATAGAGATGCTGCGTTCGAGCGAGAAGGAATTGCAAATCCCTGCCTCTCCTGGGTGCATTCGCCTAAACCAGCAGCGGTCCCAGGGGCTGAGCTCAGATCTGCTCAGGAGGGAGAGGAGGGTGAGCTGTGCTGCCCTTCTCTGGGAATACTTCTACCAGCATCCCCCTTCGGCTTCCCTCCCTGCGGCCAAGCAAAGCTGGTATCTTGTAAAAATTAAGTTGATTTGAATTATTTAATTAGTTGTTGATTCATTATGTAAAGTACACTTTTGATCACAAGTTCTGCTGCTGGCTCTGCCTCTGCAGCTTCCCTCTTTCCACCCCAGCTTCCCCATCTGCTCTCATCTCCAACGTTCACATTGTTCTCTCCTTCTACTTCCTTGTGTTCCCCTCCTCTGTTTTTCCAGAATCCCCCTCAACGCACACAAACGTGTGTTTGCTCCTGAAACACTGAGAGCCCTTTCCAAAGGTGAGATGAGCGGTGCTGGTGCTCTGCAGGCTGAGGTGGGGCACAGGGAGACTCTTGCCAAGGGGAGATGGCATGGGGAGATGGTGCTGGTTTGCTCTTTTGAATCCAGCCCGTGCTTTAACTCCTCTGTAAAAAATGAGGAATGTGATAGGCAAGGAGAGCTCTGTGTGTTCTCTGCATCAGACAAAGTCGTAAGAGAGTAACAAGAGTAATTTCGACGAGTGCTGACGCTGTGTTTGTTCGCAGTTAGAGACTGGATGAAATAATCCTCTCACATACTGTTTTTCCTGATTGCCTTATCGCCTAAGTGCCGTGATCAAATTGTGCCCGAGGGCCTGAGGCTGTGAGATAGCACCTGGGGCTGTGCTGGGACCCTGGGGGCATCTTAGAGCCACGACCCTGAGCTGTGGATCCTGCATCTGACTCTGAACTCCTCCGAAGCATGAGCGTGTGATATTTAGACTTGCTCTTCGTCCTTAATTAGAAGAGGGACCACGGGGACCTGTTCTTTCTCCTCTTCATAGGGTATTTTGACAGTCACTCGAGAGCCTTCTGTTGTACTGAAAGGGGATCTGCCATCCCTGCTAATGGATGCTGTCATTAATACTTCCAGTAGCAAGGGAGGCATGGGCACACTCAAAAACTTGTGCATTAGCCCTTTCCTCTGGAGCCCCTGGGACCTGGGAGTGATCTGTTTTTGTGGAGCTAGAGAGAGATTGTGAGTCCTCCTGAGCCTCTGAGAGACAAGATGCTGCCTGGTCCAGCACCTGCAGTTCTGGTTCTGACTGTGGAGCAGCATCCTTCGGAGGAGGTGACTCCAGCAGGACTCTGGAGGTGGGAGATAGGAATGGGTTTTGGTAGGAGAAGGGCTTTAACAAGAGATGACATGGCCAGCACAGGCAAAGTGCTATCTATTACCAGGATAAATGAGTGTAATTCAATCTCCTGTGGTTAGGTGATGAGATGAGCATTTGTGTTTAAGTGGGGCAGCTCCTTCTGCTGCAGGATTCCCTGCAGAAGAACTGCTCCTGAGGGTGGGTGATGCAGGAATTTGTCCTGTGCTGCGAGTGCCCCTTTTATCAAGGATCATCGCTAAGGCTGGAAAGGGCACGCTTTTCATCTTTCTGGATCTTGGCGTGCAGAACCTTTTCAAGGTCAGGTACATTTTGTCCATCTCCAGAACAGCGTGTTTCAATGAGTTGCAAATGGTTTTATTGTAATGTATCCGTGCTCTTGTAAAACTGCCTGTGCTCAGGAGAGGTTGATTGAGATGCAAACTCTGCGTTCAGCCTTTCCTGAGCTTTTTTGGGTTCAGATACGTTGTTGGCTCCAGGACCTGCAGCAGAAATCCTGGGCTACCCAAATTCCATCCTAAGCAGTGACACCTCCAGGGTCCAAATGAGGACCAGAAGGACCTTTAGTGGGGTTGTGGTGGAGTTCAGCCCTTCCTAGGCTCATCAGTCATCCCATAACGGACACTCTGCAATTACTGGGGAAACTCTGCTCCCCTGTGCATGTCAGGACCCGATGTGGAGGAGCACTGAGGGGCACTGCCTGCTCACTTTGATAGCTGACCCCAGCTGCAGCAGAGATGTGTCCCAGAAACAGTTCCAGCTACTCTGGGGGGTTCTTCTGTGGTCCATGTGGGTTTGGATCACTCTTGGCATGTTAAGAAAAGTCCCAAAGTCTCTGCCTCTGCAAGGGTCTGCTGTGTGAGCTGAGGGAGAGGAGCAGCCTCTCCCTAGGGAGGCTCCTGGCCACCAGGTACACCCTGCTGTCCCCATCCCACCCTGTCACTCTCGTCTAAGGCAAAGCCCACAGGGTGGCTGGTGTCACCACTGCAGGGACCGTGCTATGGGCGCATTCACCCATCCTAGGCTCGGTGCTCCCGCTCTGCACCCCAACACCGCTCCAAGGAGCTGGGCGGTGGGACAGAAGGAGGTGACAAAGCAGGAACTTGGAGGAGGAGGGCTCTCCCACCGGCTGCGCTTGCACAGGAGGAGCTGGGGCTGGTACAGGAGGCTCAAGAGCCTCCAGCCCGTGGCTGTGGGAGCAGATGGTGCTCACAGCCGGGTCCCCTTCCCTGCCGACAGCTCCTTGCCAGGCCCCAGGGCTCTGCTGGGGCGTTCAAACAGAGCGGGGGGATGCACTCTGCACACCCAGTACCGGGGGTCCTGCCCACGGGGGGAATTTGCTCTTGTGCTGGGCGAGGGGAGCACCTGTGGTGGGGGAGCTCATGCCCAGCTGGGGTGGGCTAACACAGGTGTTTTGTGTCTGTCTGTCTGTCCAGC